TTGTCCAGACAAAAGTAGAACAGGCAGGGCTCCCAAAATTTGTCAACTAGTCGCTCTAATGAAGAAATATTTGTATGTGAAAAATACTGAGACCAAAATTCAACCTTATTTGTCAGTTCCTGTTCTCTGTCTTTGTATCATGGGCCAAAAATAAGTTTTTGTGCAAAGACAAAAGGCAGAAACTGACATGATCATTATTTGTTTGATTTTCCGCAAACTTCCATCCATTATCAGAACACCTCACCAAGCTCCAGTCATCATGTGCTTGTTTGAAATGATCTAAGAAGAGTTTTGGATTTCCTGTTTAGCGCTGATCAGGATTAGGGGTTGTGCAAAAATATTGAAATATTGATTTAATGTGATGATACAGTATTGATATCGTGGGCTGCTGTATCGATATATCACCAAGAGGATTTCTTTGGTATATTTTACCGAATTATTTTGTTCCAGCTACAGTTTTGTTGCTTGTTCAAAGGAAGGAAACTCGTTTATGTGACACATTTGGCATTTTCACTGTTTTGACTGAATGATTACAATGGCCATGTTTCATATGAACTTTGCACAAGACGTGGATTAACAAAGACTTTTAGTATCACAGTCATGATTTCGCCTTTATTTTTTATTGAACCGTATTGAAATGATTTGAAATATATCGTGTTGAATTGTATCGAATCGTAAGCTCACTGTATCGATGTATGTATCGTATCAGTATTCTGAATGATAACAAATCTTAATCAGGATCATGCGGCGACACTTACACAGTTAAACAGTTTGACAGACAAGTGACTTTGCAGTATAGTATGTACAGTAAAGATGTAACAATAACTGAAATATCGTGATATTGTATCATCAATGTTCTCACAATAATATCGTGGACCATCACAATATATCAAATTACAAGTGTCTTTGCTTAAATGAAGAGTTATGGTGCAGCAATAGCTAAAAGACCATGATCTTTTGTTCCATTTCAGTGTAAACTACAAGAAGAAGTAACAGTTTTAAGCACTTGCAGCACTAAGTCTTTGTTCTTTGGATTAAGTCTTGTCAGGACATTTTAAGAGGAAAAAGTATCATATAAACAGTTTTGTTAGTCTCAAAATATCGCAATAAATACTGTATCATGAGATGTATATTGTGAAAATATTGTGCAGAGAGATTTGGATATTGTTACTTCCCTAATCCTGAGCCTCCCCAGCCTGATTCATCAGACGGTTTCACTTTGTAGAAACTGTGTGACCTTGGAGCATTAGAATTTGTTCACTCAACTGTAGGCAGGTACTTTTTTTCACTTAAGAAATTACTTGTATTTGGTTGTGACGTATGTAAAGCGCCGCTAACGGGGCTAACTGGTATATTAAGCTTTTCCCAAATCCCATAGGAAGAACATCAGAGACAATAACGTCTTTTCCCCTTGATAAAATTCACCAAACATTCTCTTTGTTTGTTTGTTGCTTTAAATCCTCGACCTCAGGAATTGTTGACAACAGAGAATGTCTGATTGGCTGGTGCCCGAACTCACACTTCCAGGGTTTTTGTGAACAGTCTAATGTATTCTGATTCCTGATCTTGTCACTGCAGAAAAATTAAATTGAGTGGAGGCACTAGGTGGCACCAGCCTGACTAGAGCCTCCCCACCATATCATGAGCTTTCCCATGATATCGCAATAAATATCGTACCGTGAGGTTCATACCGTGACAATATCGTATCACGAGACTTGGGTATCGTTGCACCCCTAATGTACAGTATGAAAAATTACACCAAATACTTTCACATTAAAGTAATTAGGATAATGACATACAAAGTTAATTAAGATAATGACATACAAAGTTATATTTATTGAATGTGTTAAGACTCTAAGCCAAATAAATATGGGTCTGGTCAAGTGGTAATCGGAGGGAAACAGGGGCAGATTTTTGACATTCAAATGTCTCTTATTCAGAAACTAGAGGAACTATTGAAATAAGTAAAGTATCAGAATGTAGGAAAGAGTTACACTCCAACAGGGTCAAGTTAAACCTGTGATATTCTTTCAAGTTGTTGACAAAAAATTTTAAAAACTCATGTTGGTAACAGAGGGAATGAAATATGCAGCACTTTTTGGTCAATAAATCCAAACAGTGATAACTCTTGGTTCTCACTTACATATCCTTAACAAACTGGTTTGAATATTTGCTTCATATAGTTTTCTACCATATGGTACAAGATTAGGTTGAAAAACCTCTTACTTTTTGAGTCATGAGATTTTTTATTAAGAAAGGTCATAGTAACGGAGGGAAAAGTAACGGAGGGAAAATTGTGCAAACAAGTAGAAGGTGCATGATTTTACATAATTTGTCAGCTTTTTTCTTCCGAATACTTTAATATTACTTCAAAATGAAAAGTAACTATTTCTATAAAAAATGTCAGTCCTTCTAAGCTAATTTTTATCATTTTAAATACATTTTTTATGAAAAATCATGTACCTTCATCAACAGTTCAAAGATGGAATAACACAAGATATGATGAAATACATTACTTCTGCTTGACCGGGGCCAAATACAGTATTTATGAACTAAATCACAAACAAAAACATACACTGTTTCTGCTTTTTGCTTTTGCACAACTTATTTTTGGCTCATAATAAAAAGGCAGATACAGGAGCTGACAAATAAGGGTCAAAGGTCAATTCTGAGCTCAATATTTTTCACGATATTTATTCACATGATAAAGCAGCTCTCAAATACAAACAACATGACATGAAGTTTGTAGGGCAGTGTGGCTTTTTATGAAGTAATCTTTATGGAGACACTGTCCCATTGAGCCTCTTTACACTGTCCATTCTCTGCTTAATTTAACATGAAACCTTTATTTTCTTTGGTGCACAGCTGCAAAACTATTTACAACCTGCTTTCAAAATCATGTGCATTGAGTAGAACAGGCCCCAAACTCTGGGTGTACGCGCCTCTCCGTGCAGCCAGCGCATTATGCTAATTTCTCCGGGTGTCTGGGTCCCATTGCTTCTCCCGACTTCATTATTATAATTGCCGACATGGCTGAGAACGCCGAGAATGTGAATTTGAAACCAGCGTGTGTTTTTTTTGTCTTTCTCCTCTCCTTGTGTACTCGCTATATTCAGGGAAATCCCAAAAATGTTCCCAATTTCAACCCTAAATCAACACACAGACTGGGTAGGGATGGAGCAGCGCTGGGTCTGTCTCTGGCTCGAGTCTATTATGTCTTGGAATAATGTAAAACAGGTCCTCTTGTGTGTTGCTCGAGTGCTGGGTTCTTCTCAGAGTCTTGCTTTGAACTGAGTCCCAGTGCAGTGGCAGCAGAGGCCCTCGTCCAAACACAATGTTGGGGAAGAGGAGAGATGACACTGACGCTTGTTAACACACAGAGTCTTACACTGTGGAAACTGGGACTCGACAATGTAGGAAAATATGGATTGCGATTCTTCTGGTTAATGTTATGATAATAATGCAGTAAAAGTACACGGAATTAACCTCAATAAAGCGTGAAGATCCGTGTGTAATTTGTTCATTCGTTTTTCAAAGTAAAACCAAAAGTAAGAAAATGAACAGTTTTCTTCATTATTTGTCTCCAAAACCAAAATGAAAAAATGGATAAAGGTTCTTTTTTTTCAGTTTTTGATTTTGTGTTTCAATGAATAATGGAAAAAAATGGACTGAACCAGGACTGAACCAGGACTAAAACAGGTCTAAACCAGGACTGAACCAGGACTAAAACAGGACTAAAACAGGACTGAACCAGGACTAAAACAAGACTAAAACGGGACTGAACCAGGACTAAAACAGGACTAAAACAGGACTGAACCAGGTCTAAACCAGGACTAAAAGAGGACTAAAAGAGGACTAAAACAGGACTGAACCAGGACTAAAACATGACTAAAACAGGACTGAACCAGGTCTAAACCAGGACTGAACCAGGACTAAAAGAGGACTAAAAGAGGACTAAAACAGGACTAAAACAGGACTGAACCAGGACTAAAACAAGACTAAAACAGGACTAAAACAGGTCTAAACCAGGACTGAACCAGGACTAAAGCGGTCTCAGTCCCGGTCTAAGTCCTGATTCGGTCCCGGTCTCAGTCCTGATAACCCGACAGTCTATGTGGGCGCACCTCCGGGCCCGACCCGACACTCAGTCCTGGTTCAGTCCTGCTTTAGTCCTGGTTTAGTCCTGGTTCAGTCCGTCAGCGATGTAAAAGTTCGACATCGCAGTTTAAGTCAAGAAAATGGGAAAAGCTGTAATCCGTTTTTTCCATTATTTATTTAAACACAAAATCAAAAACTGAGGGAAAAAAAAAAAAGTTATCAGTTTTTTCATTTTTGGTTTTGGAGACAAATAATAAAGAAAACAGTTGTTGTTTCGTTTTCTTATTTTTAGTTTTATTTTGAAAAACGAATGAACGAATGATACACAGATTCATGAAGATCCCATATCAAACAACACTGACTCTTGTAAGTTTTACATCTTATTATAATGTTGTTAAGCCTCAAAAACAGACCTGGAGTCGTGTTTTGTTTCATTCACATGTTTTATTATTAGTCTACATTTCCAAAGCTCTAAAAGCTCTGTTCCACTTTGTGATGTCATGAAGTGGTAGTTTTCAAGTTAACTTTTTGTTTAGTAGAGACTGGAAATTCCTGGGCTAAAATGATCCAAGTCATTCTGGTGAAGGTGTGTGGAGTTTAAAAACACAGTGGAGCGCTTCCTGTGTCACTGCATGACATCACAAGGTGGAAGAAAGTGTGTGTTAAACGTGTGAATGAAACAAAACACAACTCCAGGTCTGTTTGTGATGAAGAAACATTATAACACAGACCTGACCTGTAACTTATCCTGCTGATGCCCTGTCTTGTCGTCATGGAGACAGAGGAGTAATGCTACACTGTGGAATGTTCTAGGCCTTTCCAGGTAGAGGTCCATCTGCAGCACCTGTAACATGAGCATTTGTAACCGCAGTCCCGGTGAAAACAGACAATACGAAAAAAAGTAAGTTACAAAAGTCATATTTTATTCATAAAATAAACAAATGTACAATCACAATGCCAATTTCACTCACTGTTGTCAGGTTTGAATCCCTTAAAAAAGATGTTTGTGAAACGTACCAGCAATTTCTAATGGAAGGTCCATCAGAGGATTTCCTGACAAGAGTTCATGAGAGAAGAAGCAAAATTACAGACGTAAGTACATTTTACATAAAGGAAGCAAAGGTCTGTTCCTGCATATTTTACATGGTGGTCATTAAATAATACATTATAAAGAAATTGAAATTGAAAAAAGAAAAAAAAAAGTTGAACCTCATGAAAAACACAACACAAACAAAAACAGATGAGGACAGAGTGGATGTCAGTGCTGCGTTGATGTGTAAACACTTTTAAAAAGACCATTTCCTGGTCAAGTCTAAAGAGAAAAAGGGATTCAGTTAAGTCCAACACGTGGCCGTGGTTACCAGAGGGTTGTTTACATTAAATTAACTAATAGACTTTTATATGTGGTCTTCTGTTACACCAGAAACACAGACAGACCTGTGCTTTGGTCTGGGCGATGGGGAACGTGGTGTGTTCACTCCCATCAGGAGAAGTCTGCGTGCAAACCTGCAATGAAAGCCTCTCCTGGTCCTTGGACTGGCCCCTGTTTTTCTCAGCTCCGGAGAATCGGGTGATTGTATTACCTTCATGCTCTGAATATCAAATTGTATAAAGTTTTAAAAAATCAAATGAATACCAAGTGCCCAGAGTGATCAGATTCAACTTGACTGTAAATGTTGTTTGGCCAAGTGTTCTCCATTCTGTATGTGTGAGTATGAACTGTGAGGGCCCAAAAGCCCAGAGCCCTCTGCTGGCAGCCCACTGTAAGTGCAGCTGAATCAGGAGAGTAAGTGCTTCATAAACAAACATACACAGGGTTTGCTGCCAGCAGCTGCTTCCAATCTCCTCCATGTTTCACTTTGTCCTGTTAATGTGACATCTTTAAATTATGACCTTTCATTTGAAACTGTGTACATCAGACTCCCTCATTGTGGTGTTCACTTATGACAAGAGCAAGAAATAAGATACAAACCAGTTTGGTAAACAAGTCAAATGCAGAGGAGAAAAATAAATAATAAAAGGAATGTCATAGTTTAGATTCTGCGTCAGTCTCACAGACTGAGATGGACGATGTGTCTCACACTAAGACTCACTTTTAGAAAGCAGTCTTCTGCACATGCTCAGTGCCCCTGCTCTCAGCTCTGAGCTCTGCACATGCTCAGTGCCCCCTGCTCTGTGGCGTCTTGTGGTGGGCGCAGACGGGCAGTTCGTTCCAGTCGGGAGAGGATCCATCCTGAGGAATAATATCACAAATATCAAAGTCTGCCTCTGGGGGCAGAGCCAGGAGCTCCTCTGAGCCAACAGCCCCAATGATACAGAAAGTATCTGTACGCTCATCAGGAACAAACTCAACAAATGAAGCAGAATTTCCCCAACGCATAATTACTTTCTCCATTGAAGCTCTTTCATGGTGCGTTGCCAAGAGGCACAATACGAGTTATTGCTCAATAAATACCAAGGTTTCATTCCAAGCCAAATGCGTGTCAACGCCTAGTATGGATCTGGGCTCTTAATACGAGGAGCAGTTTAACTGAAAGTTACTCCAGAAGAAACATGTTGCAATACTCTTTGGAAATTACATATTCAAACCATTTATATCTTTGGGTGCTACAAAATTAAACCTCTCACTCTTTAAATTACCTATCAAAACAATTCATTTAACTTAGTCATATAGATGCATCAAAAATATTCAGATTACACTTCTTCGACTCAAGTTTCAAATACAATACATAATTTATGGCTTTATAAGTTAAAACAAAGAAACAAAATCGCCTCAATCTACATCCATGTTTCACCCACAATGTACAAGTTAAATTAAAGAAAAAGGATTGTCCATACCACTAAAGTACCACTAAAGTACCTCTAAAGTACCTCTCCTCTACTCCTCAGTGCTTCACTTGTCTCAATAGTGTCATAGTACAAAACACAGCCCAGCAAAAAGCCTTAGCAAAGTTCAAACACTGTACAAAAATAACAGCTTTGTGGATGATGAAAAGAGAATGTAGTCTCCTCCACTCGGGCTTACAAAAGTTAAAGGACATTGAATCTTCGTCAATATTGCTGCAGATTCCTCCCTTTGTAGTGCCTTGGTCAAAACACATTTAAGGGAGACAGGCCTTAACAAGTCTCATGTTTTTCTTTCTTTTAATCTCAACCTTCACTTCCAACTTTTAAAGGCGGAGATAGTTTTAGCTGATCCGCGCACAGAAACCCCCTCTTCTTCTTCTTCTTCTTCCTAAATGTTGTGCTTTCAAACCTCACGAGAAATGACGCTGCCTTTGCTTTATTTTCTTCAATATGGTCGCCAAACAGCTTCATCCATCCGCCCGCCGTTGTTGAGCACGGTCGGGGAGTTGCTGTGGCTACCATCCCCCTCCACGCCCCCCTCCGTCTGGCTGGGCA